CTGCGCAAGTTCACAGAAGAAGTGAGGGATGTCCAGGTCTGTGCAGAAGGACAGCCGCAGTGCCGTCAGAGTGTGGATCAGGGTGTGCACAGTGCTGATGAGCAGAGAGAGTAGAACCAGCAGGACACAGAGTCCAGGGTGCACGACGATCGTGTACCTCAGTGGGTGACAAATGGCCACATAGCGATCACAGGCCATCACTGCGAGGAGACAGTTTTCCAAGGCACTACAAAGCAGAGCAAAATATGCCTGGAAGAGGCAGCCTATGTAGGTGATGCTCGGATCCTTTGCTTGAGTGTTCACCAGCATCTTTGGAAGTACAGTTGTGCTTACAGAAATGTCAGTGAAGGACAGGTTGGAGAGGAAGAAGTACATGGGGGTGTGGAGGTGGGAGTCAGAGCTGATGGCCAGGATGATGAGCACGTTTCCCAGGATGGTGACCAGATACACGGACAGGAACAGGCTGAAGATGAGGGGCTGCAGTTCTGGGTCATCTGTCAGTCCCAAAAGATGGAATTCTAAAAGAGTTGTTTGGTTAGTGGGTTTCATGTTACTGGCTAATCTCACAGGAAAGACGGTGTGAAAATAAAATAAAATGACTTGTTTTGAGACAAGCAGCAGGAGTATGACATGGTGACTTCTTAGGAAGATCCTTGTTACATTTATAGTCTTACTGATGACAAGATATAAGAATGAGGACCCATGCTTCAGGTGGGTTTTATATATCTAAAGACGGAGAGCCAGGGTTTTTCAAAAACAAAAGGAAAATGGTCTTCTCGTGTACACTACGGAACCAAAAGTTTATTCAGATATTTTGTCACTGATCCCTTCCACTCCTCTCCTCTCTTCTCCTTTAACTTCCATGCCCTTTATTGGAAACCAACTCCTTTTCACATATTGTGGTGAGTGCTGAGACTGTTAAGAAATAAGACATACAATTTCCATAAGAAATAGCCCGTGGCTCAGAGAACAAGATCCCAATGATGAATGTAACTGTGCTCTATGCCTAAAAAGTACCAATAAACTCAATGAGGGGGGAAAAAAAAGAAACAGTCCGTGCCTTCAATAGAAATAAAGAGGAGGATGAATTTATGAAATATGTCTTCTAAAGCCACAGTCTGCAGTGATGGCATCTGAAGGACTTCAGGTCATCTGAAGGGTTTATCAAATTACTGCCAAGGTGCTTAATGCTCTGCCCCCACCCCCGCCCCCGATGTGAAGGTCACAAGGACAAGCAATGAGCGTAAAGTACACTGTTCGTGTTTGGCACACACGGAATCAGAAGTTAAGATGGTCTAGCTGTTGGGTTGATTCTCATGACCAACTTCTGCCAATGTCTGTGGGCAGCATAACGTCAGTCTTGCTAAAGTACCCCATAGGTCTTTGAAATTCCCAGTATAGTTTTAATCATGAACAAAGGTTTTCTTTTTGTTTCCCTTTCTTTCTAGGGACACCCACTTCTACCACTTCTGCAGTTAAGCATGGAGGGAGGGGAGATGCATCCAGCTAGACTTGAAAATAATTAGAAAATGCGTCCTTTCACTTCGAGCCCATTAAGACCTCTCCCTGGAAATGCAAGAAATCTGCTTTCGCAGTAAATTCCAGAAGAAATGGGTAACGGTGTTTAAAACACTTTGTCTTAGCCTAAGGGAATGTCTTTCCCTAGTGAGAGAGGTAGCGAATCATTACACAGAATAAACGAGTACTAGCAATAGGAGGGAAAGAATGAAATACAGAGGCCCCTGTGTAGAGAGGTTGAAATAAAAACCAATTTGTTGTTTTTCAGAGAGCAGAGGGGTCAAGATGCCACCAATCTAGGTAACCAGGTTTCCTAATGTTGTGGAAGGAATTTGCAAGTGACCCACAGAGAGGCAGCAGAAAGGAAGTAAAATAACAAATTTACTCATCAACGAGGGTTGATTGCACATAAGCCGTGCCTGGATCGAGGACCCACTGGGCTACAACTCCTGCTTTTATAAGGTTTTACAGCCTTGACTTCATTTGGGTGGTTACATTTCATTCTCACAGTCCACATCATGGTCCCAAGATCGTTAACTTTAACCCAGATGTAACAGTTTTTTGCAGTTGGGGAGTTTACCTTAAGATTCTTCTAGCTATCTGTTCTAGTGCACAGGAAGGGGGTGTTCAAGGCCAGGGATGAGGCCAGATGTCCCATTTCACGGTCAATGCCTCCAGTGTCTGTTAATGTTGAACTAAACAAAGCAGACTTAAATTAGAGACAGAACTCATATTTTCCTAACATTGCGTAGGTTTTTAGATTATTTACAAAAGGTCTCTGCATCACGAATACGAGGGTCCCTGGAGAGCAGAGGTCTTCCTCTCTTGGGGAAGACAGAAGCAGTACGATGATGATTATTTGCTGTAATATCAGATTCACACACTCTGAATTTAATCCAGGATCTGGCATTTGCTTTCTGAATGAGGGAAAGCCTTCAACTATACCAGAAGCCAGGGTATTCTCTTAATGAAGCTGCTTGATGAATGTGTCCTTTAGCTGTAGTTTGATGATCATTTATCCGTTTAGAATTCGCCACATATTGTGTATCTTAAATATACAGTTTTTCTTTGTGTAATTATGCCTCGGTAAATTGGGGAGGAGACTGCATGTGGATGTTTTGATTCATGAGAAACAAATACAACAAAGCAACCAGCACAGTGCTGGCAACTGGAACCCTGGTACTGATCTGTCCTTTTGCGTGCATGATAATAGCAAGTGCTCCTATTCACCCCTTGGGAGGAATAGACATCTGGAGCATAAGAAGTGCACACTTCAGGGAAGCGTTCATGCACTAAACCTACCACTGGGAATACTGGTTTGCAGAAAAGTACAGAAAGGTGCATCCGTGATACCGATATTCCTCAACATCTAACACTGAAAATGAATTAAATGGCAAGAGCATCAGACACAGGAATCACAAAACTATGACTGCCTAAACTAGGAAAAATGCATACGTAAATAACATTCCCTGAGGAAACTGGAAATATTTTAACCTTCCCAGAGAAGTGTATTTTATTACAGATTATTCAGGCACGATGGAAAGTAAAACCGTGCCGGTCAGCATGCATCACTCACCAGTTAAAAACGCATCTACTTCATGGAGGGGTAGGGGAATTAAAAAGAGCCCAGCTGTGTTATGCACATGTACTCGTCACTCCCCAAGATGACTGTAAACTGTGTGTACTGCAAATGTATACTAATAAAAAATAAAATAAGTGCTATCATACGATAAAAACCCATATACTTCACCATTTTTTTGCCTTTAGACATCTTTAGTACACAAATATTAGAAGTATATTTGAAGCCTCCATTTTATATTCTTGCACAGAACTGATTTTTTTTCTTTCCCCAGGGAAACTACCGCACTGACATGACATACATTATTCTGCTAAGTTTTCATCAAGTTGGTATTATTCTTTCAAATAAGAAAGACTGCATAATGTTGTGTGTGGTAAGCTTTACATAAATGGAGTCTTACAGCATATGCCATTCATAAAGGATGGTCTTTGGTGATTTTTTAAAAATAGCTCGGGCATATTTAGTCATTCTTCATAAATTTTTGCTACTAGAGTATCCCGTTGTCTTGCTACATTACAATTTAGAGTCCCCAAGTGATAAGTATGCCTTTTAACACATAGGTAGATGACAGCAGATAGACATATAGGTGCTAAATAGACAATAGATAGATAGACAGACAGACAGAATAATAGCCCAATAGAAAGCTAGGTGGATAAATGTGACCATATTTACAATACAGAGGCATGCATTTGGGGAACCCCATTATATTCCTGATGTCATATTTGGAGAAAAGAAGAGGAATGCAGGAGAATACAGTTTATAAATTGTGTATACTTATTACTTTATTTTTAAAGACCTGAAACAATCGTATAATGTCCCAGGTTTTAATTCTGGAATGAGGTGAGGGGTATTTCTATAACTCTAGTCTCTGTTGTTCCTATACAAACTTTTGGGGAGTTTTAGGAAGCAGAAAAGGGGGAGGCAGAACCTCTGCATCTCCTCCTCTCTAGCCAGAGCCCTTGAATCACCTACCAGCATAGAACAAAAGCTTTCTGTACAATGCTGGATCAAAACCACCAAGATGAATCAAGGAGCTGATTGCTAAGAACCAACTTCTGTACCCTCTAAAATTTGTGTGTTGAAATCTTTTTCCCTAATTCCCTAAGTTTATGATGGTATTTAGAGATAATTCTTTGAAAAAGTATTAAGTTAGAATATGCTCAGTAGGGTGAAACCTAACCTGATAGGACTGGTATCTTTACAAGAAGATATTATCACACACACACACACACACACACACACACACACACAC